AGCAAGGACACAGAGAAGACCTTTTCAAGATGTGCAGAACATTATTAATACATCACAGCTTCACAGCGAGGTTCACCAAACTCCACTTAATCCACATAAGCCACCAGAAAAAAAGGGGAAAAAGTGGAGTCCACCATCTGTTAATAGCAAACAAGGTATACATGCCTCTCAATAATATGAAACTATTACATAAAAAGTATTAATAGATCAACACTGATGGAGTAATGTTTATTTCATGAAGCTGCTAAGGGTATTATACTTACCAATTCAAGAATCAATCTGAGGTTCCCAAAGTCTTTGGCAAAGGAGAAGAAAACATCTCACAAGAGTTATGATACAACAATCGAAGAAGACTCTGATGAGATCCTGAATTCAAAGGAAGAAACATATATTAATATGAGTAAGTAAAAATCATTATGATATATTTTCTAAACTTAATAAAGCATCCACTAATCAGGGGAAAAAACTATGATAAGTGATTTGGAGGAAACACGTGAACAGGTTTACGAGTGTAGTAGTCCAGATGAAAATGATTCAGAAACATCTGAAGATTATGAAACCATAGACGATATCCCAATCGAAGTCAAACAAAGATATGAGTTTTTATCAATGTTAGATGAAAGTTTGACCAAAGCTTTTGGAGAAATAAAAACTCCTAATGTTTCTAGCAGAAAGAACAAAAACACAGGTACTACATCATTGGTTTATTTCTAATTCTTTTCTTACACAAACTTTACTTATGCTAAACTTATTCCCGTTATTGTAGAGTATCTAGATCATGGAGATCCTGTCTACTCATGTTCCTACTGCGGTGCTATTATGTGGTATGGCGAACGCATCAACAGACATAAGAAAGTTCGTAAACCAATTTTTACTCAATGTTGTCTGCAAGGATCTGTGAAACTGCCTTTCCTCCATAATCAACCAGAACTGTTATTTGCTTTGCTAACCAATGATGATGACATGAGTAGACACTTTAGAGAGAACATCCGAGCATATAACATGATTTTTTCATTTACTTCTCTTGGGGGTAAGTGTGATAATTCTGTTACAGCGGGAAGGGGTCCTAATATGTTTCAGATACAAGGAGAGAATTACCACCAGATGGGAAGTTTGAAACCTGGAGAAGGTGAATTTCCTAAGTTTAGTCAGCTATATATAGTTGACACAGAGAATGAAGTTGAAAACAGAGCAGGAATTTTAAGGTACATTTTCTAACTCAAAACAAGCCATCACAGTATCCAGACTTTGTGTTTTTTTCTGTAAGTATTAGTGTCGTTGCTAACTAAATTAATATTTCAGCAAAGAAAAATCTGCTGGGAAATATAAGAAAAAGTCAGAGTTGAGAAAAGAAATAATTGAGGCGATAATAAAGCTGCTAAATGAAGTTAATCCATACGTTGCTCATTTTAGACAAGCTCGTGATAGGTTTAATACCAATCCTGAACAGAGCTTTCATATGAAAATAGTGAGTGACCGTGTCAAAGATGGAAGAACATATGCAGTGCCAACAGCTTCGGAGGTCGCAGCGCTGATTCCAGGTGATTTTCACATTGGTATGCCAAGTCGTGACATTATTATTGAAGAAAAATCTGGGTATTTACAAAGAATCAGTGAAATAGAACCATGTTATCTTGCTCTACAATACCCTTTGTTGTTTCCAAAGGGTGAAGATGGTTATAGGACAGGTATTCAGAAAGGGAATAACCATGGTAAAAAGAAAAACAAGCCCGAAGGAACTGAGGAGAATGATTGCATAAGTTTGCGTCAATGGTATGCGTATCGTATACAAGAGAGAAAGAATGAACAAAGTATCCTGCTAAGGTCAAAACGGTTGTACCAGCAGTTCTTGGTTGATGCTTATACCACCATTGAAGCTAATAGGCTCAAATATATTAAACTGAATCAGTCAAGTTTACGAGCTACTAACTATGATTCAGTTAAAGAGGCGGCAACAGCAGGAAAGACAGATATGAATGAAGAAGGAAAAGCATTTTATCTACCAGCTACTTTTGTTGGTGGGCCAAGATACATGAAGAACATGTACATGGATGCAATGTCTACATGTAATCATTATGGATTTCCTGACCTATTCATTACGTTCACATGCAATCCAAAATGGCCTGAGCTGGTAAGATTTTGTACTGAGAGAAATTGTAATTCCGATGATAGGCCAGAGATCATAAGCAGAATGTTCAAAATGAAGCTGAATTCTCTAATGGATGATTTGACGAAGAAACATATATTGGGGAAGACTGTTTCATGTAAGTGATTTATTTTAATAGTTGCGTTAACAGTCTATAATTTAATTATCTGTTTCTGCTATTTTTCTAAATGTCGTTTAACTAATATTATTATCTCATGTTGTTCTCGCAGCAATGTATACAATTGAGTTCCAGAAAAGAGGTCTTCCTCATGCACATATATTGATATGGATGCATCCAAGTTCTAAGTTTCCAAAACCAGAAGACATTGATAAAATCATTTCTGCGGAAATTCCTGACAAGAATAAAGAACCAGAACTTTATGAGGTCGTAAAAGACATGATGATTCATGGACCATGTGGCGTCGTCAACCAGAATTCACCATGTATGCTTGAAGGGAAATGTTCTAAGTTTTTCCCAAAAAAACTTAGAGAACATACTAAAGTTGATAAAGAAGGTTTCCCTTTGTACAGAAGAAGAAAGACAAAGCTGTTTGTGGAGAAGTGTGGATTTAAGTGTGACAACGGATATGTTATACCCTATAACAAGAAGTTGCTGCTTCGCTACAGAGCTCATATTAATGTTGAGTGGTGTAACCAAACTGGCTCTATCAAGTACTTATTCAAGTATATCACTAAAGGGATGGACAGAGTTTCAGTAGTTGTTGAGCCTAATGAAAAGTCTACAAAGACTACAACTACTACAGAGAAGTCTGATAGTTCAAACAGTGGGGGCACAAGTAAAAATGAAATACAAGACTTCTTTAATTGCAAGTATAAAATCTACTTGGATTTAGGTAAATAGTTTAGATGCTTAACTCATTTCTAACTAATACATGTTTTATGATATTGTATCAGATATGTATCAGCATGTGAAGCTGGATGGAGAATCTTGAAAAATCCTATACATTATAGGTCAACGTCTGTTCAAAGATTATCCTTCCATCTACCAGGCAAACAACTATTATATTTTAAAGGTGATGATGAGGTGAAAACAGTTTTGAAAAAATCAGAATTACAGAATTCGATGTTTCTTGCTTGGTTTGAATTGAACAAGCGGTGTCCTAAAGCCAAAGATCTCACATATACTCAGATTCCGGAATATTATACTTGGGATGGTAAAACAAGAACTTTCAATATGAGGAAGCGACCAGGGAAAACAATCGGAAGGATTAATTATGTCCCACTTATTTATGAGGAAGGTTATTATTTAAGAGTGCTTCTAAATCATCAAACTGGACCTGAAAGTTTCGAAGACATCAAAACAGTGAATGGCGTGGTGTACAAATCGTTCAAGGAGGCATGTTATGCTCTGGGTTTGCTTGACGATGACCATGAGTATATTGATACAATAAAGACAACCAGTTTTTGGGCTACTGGAAACTACTTGCGTTGTATGTTTGTTGTAATGCTCCAGTCTACCAGCTTATCTCAACCAGAAGTTGTTTGGGAAAAAACATGGGAACTTCTATCAGAAGACATCGAAAGAAAAAGGAGAGAGTACTTTAAAAGACCAGGTAATTTTTGATCAAATAATTTAGTCTCTTTGGTTGGTTTAAAGAGTTGTTACTTTGCAATTTTAAGTAGTTTTTGTCATGATTATTCTGTCTTACAAATAACACTGTTTTTTTACATATTTTTGGGACACAGAACTAACACTTACGGACGAGCAAAAACAGATGTTGGCTTTAAAAGAAATCAACAGCATCTTACGAAGCAATGGAACATCTCTAACAGCTTTCAGAACAATGCCACAGTTACCTGATGAGGAAATTGATGATAGTAATGTCTTGATACTTGATGAAAAAAGCTACGATCGCAATGAACAGAAGGAAAAACTTGAAGAATCGTTGCAGAAAATGACAGATGAGCAGAAGAGTGTTTATTTAGAGATCATCGATGCTGTTGATAATGACAAGGGAGGTGTCTTCTTTGTCTATGGCTTTGGTGGAACTGGTAAAACTTTTATATATACGACACTCTCAGCTTCTGTAAGATCTAGAGGTTCTATTGTGCTAAATGTGGCTTCCAGCGGCATTGCTTCTCTATTGTTACCTGGTGGGAGAACAGCGCACTCTCGGTTTGGTATTCCAATAAATCCAGACGACTTCACTGTATGTAATATTGAGAAAGGTTCAAATCAGGCAGAATTAATAGAAGAAGCGTCTTTGATAATTTGGGATGAAGCTCCAATGATGCGTAAGCATTGTTTTGAATCTATGGATAGGAGTTTCAAAGACATTATTAAAGGTGGTGGAAACAAACCGTTTAGTGGCAAAGTAGTTGTTTTTGGTGGAGATTTCAGAC